CCCCTTCTCTTTTAAAAAGAGCAAAACCAACCTTTTAATTTTTATTGATTTATTGATTTATTTTTTAATCGTTATTGTTGTTGCTATTATTATTATTATTATTATATTTGTTTGCTGCCGTTGCTTATTTCTGTTCCCAACCCTGGATGCAGTTACTGGATTCTGCAGTACAAGTCTTCATGAACAAGCTGCACCGCTTAGAGATTTCACGGAATTCAAAGGTCACAGAACTGCCACTATGGTTAAATGTCTTGTTTAATGGTTGAGGTAGGTACAGCAAATCTAAAAGAGGCAGCATGATTGTTTTTTTTGAATTTGTTTTAAAATTGTGAGGGGGAGAGGGAGATAATACTATTATTTAGTGGAAAAGATTTTTGCTTGTGATTGTTACTACAGCAACCGTTTTTTGAATTTCCTCCCTTTTTCTCTTCAGTCAAACTGGATGAAAATTTTAACTCATGTTGATTTAACCGTTTGATGGTTACAGAAGATTGCAAAAAGAATCTCTTGTGGTAGTCCTTTCTGACCCCACTGGGGAACGTGTGATTGATTTTTCTATATGTTTTCCTATTGCTCTGTGGCAGGAGAGGAGACCTGGGACTTGTCTTGCTTAGATGAAGGGAGAAAAAAGCAGAAACTTGTTCCTATCCTGAGAGGGCTGTGAGTTTTTCTGAGAGTTAGAGCAGAGGGAGGAAGAGTTGGAAATAAACAGGTCAAGCAGAAAAGAATATCGGCCTCATTTTTTAGGAGTACATGTACTGGTTTTGGGGTTGGGTTGTTTTTAATACATGCTTAGAGTACTTTACTTGGTTTGGGTTCAGAAGTTCAAAATTAAGAAGCAGCCTGAGCTTTGACTGAGAAACAGATCCCCACTGGGAGGGGAGAGAGCTGGTTGTCTTATATCAACACCAGTTTTCATACAGCTTTTGCTACCCAAACAGAGAAAAGTGGAAATTTGCTCAGGAGTTGAAGTGATGTAACCTGGCATCTGTTTCATGGCATATAGCTTCAGTTCATATTTGAGCCAGTGATCTGCCTTGAGTGAGTATTGCAGCATCACAGTGGGCAATGTGTGCTGCAGTAAATGAAAGCAACTACCATCAAACTAACATTGTTTTCAAGAGTGTGATTCTAAATTATAAGAGGAAGAGCCACTTGTCAGAGCTTGTGTGTGTGTGTGTGTGTGTACAAGCAGTCTTAAAAATAAATCCAGCCAACACAGGAGATTTCTGTTGTTAATTGGGTTAATATACAGCTATGTTCAATGACCAGCAGTCTTCATATTTTTCCAGTTTGTGGAAAGAGACTTTTTATAGCTCTGTTTGAAATGTTGCTGTAGATATAAATCCTCTGCATTTGAAAATATTTCAGTTTAACTTTAAAAATTATACCTAAAAACCAATTCCTCTAACAAGGAACAGAACATGAGTGCACCTATCTCCTGCAGTGCACCCCATAGGGTTAAAAAAATTAACTTCACTAGGCTGAAGCATGCTAGCTTAAGGACTGCAAAAATATTAGCTCTGAAATGCAGAGGATGTGCTATGTGCTGTGAATGGACAATTGCTATTCTGCAGTGCCTAGTGGGAAAACAAGGACTTTGTGTATTGCAAATGCATAACTGCAGCTCCTCCATTTCCTTTGCTGTATCTTCACTGATGACTGCAGAAACAAAGAGGTTTGTCACAGATAAGCTCTTTAGTGCCCCATCTCTTTGAAGATGCTGGAAGGTATTTTCTCTACCATCCAACAACTCAAAGTCAAGCTTAGTTGGATGAACTGTTGTTCTGTAA